GGTAGAACGAGTCAAAATAATCATAAAAGTTATATATCATTTTGAAATTTTCTCAATATTTATTCTGTAATTAATTAAAATGTATAAACGAATGAGTTCACGAGAAGCGGTAGGACAGGCTTTGTGTGTAAAAGAAATAGCTTACTTCTTACCAACGATGAGTAAACAGCTGATTTTGAGGCGGAATAACAAGCGACACGTATACGTTACTCCGCCTCAAAATCAACTGTTTACTCATCGTTGGTAAGAGGTAAGCTATTTCTTTTACACACAAAACCTGTCCTACCGCTTCTCGTGAACTCATTCGTTTATACATTTTAATTAATTACAGAATAAATATTGAGAAAATTTCAAAATGATATATAACTTTTATGATTATTTTGACTCGTTCTACCCGTACACGGCAGTTGCTCGATCAGTTACCGAACACCCTGTATATAATCACGAAAATCTACTAGATATTATTCTAATTTTTTTCTTTTTGAATGAAGGAGAATATGTTTATTTGAAGCAAAATTTCCTCTTACTAGAAAGAATTCCTATTAAGGATAAGACGAGAGAAAAAGTATCTAAGTAAATAAAAAAAAATACTCGGTGGGTAGTATAATAGCAGACTTACTTTTACAGCACAAAATATATTTTAAATGAAAAAATGTGTATTTTCTGGAAACCCCTTAGCTATTCATGTTGCTTATTCTATTTAAGTGAAAGAATTTAGATTGAAGTTAAATATGTTATTATAATAGTTATCGAACAAATATCTTTTATTTTTTAGATATTTTTTCCCTCAATGTAGATAAAAGACAAAATTTTTCTGAGAATATTAGGTTTAGAAAATTTTTGGCTCAAAGTCTTTTCACTCGTCTTTTCACGTTATTGTTTTAAATCACGTTATTTAACGCATTTAAATATATTAAATTACAATTTACAATTTTTTTTAAACGTGTTAAATAATGTAATTTGAAATGATAAGAAATTTGTAAAAGAAGCTTTAATCAAATCAATCTTCTTTAATCAATAACTCAAAAATATACGTCGTTAAAACAGTAAGAGGACTTTTGTGTGTGTGTGTGTGTGTGTGTCCAGTTTAACGACTTCCACCTGCACGCGAGCGGATGTGCAAATTGCGTCAGATACACCCTGTATAAGAGTAAAATCCTTTAGGGGGGATTTCAGAGGATTCCGCCAAGAGTGAGATTATATATTTCTTTTATGTACCTGTAAAGGAGAGAATGGTAAGAGAGAAAGAGAGAGAGATAACTAACTTCCTCGGTGAATATTAATGTTTTGCTTGCAATTGAATTACGAAAAATGGAGTAGGTCGCGAGCGGTGATTATTAATGTCGCGAATTAGCGAGGATAATCGTGTCGGTAATTAGTTTGTGTCAGTATTACGATAGCATTGATAGTCTCGCGAGGTATGGTTTATGCATGTACAGACTAATTTGTCGATAAATTGGCATGCCGGGCGCTGCCGCGCATTTGCCAGGCCGAGTATACCCCGAATTCGCACGGCCTGAACCCTCTCTCGCAGTCCATCGTGCTGGATGGAAGGTCATAGTCGAAGTTCGCGATGAAGATAAATGGGTGAGATCTCATCGAGCGACGGGTCGACGGTCGAACTGTCCTCGCGCGTTTCAGCTCGCTCGTGGAAGCTTTTGTTGACCGAGCAGCGACGTGGATCGGAATAAAGTAGCGATCTTCGCGGATCGACTCAATCCCGACGTAACTATTCCGACGTTACAAGCCGCGGTCGGGAAACTTTTGTTGACCGAGCAGTGATCGGAGATCAGACCAGCGTAAGGATCTCTCCCTCTCTTTCTCTCTCTCCCTCTCTCTCTCTCTCTCTCTCTCTCTCTCTCTCTCGATGTAACTATCTCGATATTCCAGTCCTGGGAAAGTTTTGTTTACAGTGCTGCAATCGGAGATCGGAATAAAGCGGCGTGGTCGTCGCCGGGAGGTCCGGGATGCGACTTCGGTATAGCTATCTCGATGTTCGAATCACGCGGGATTTTCGTCGACGAAGCAATGATCGATCAGATACGACTGATAAATATCGATTCCCGGAATCCCCGGATGGCGATTTCGCGACAGGAGTGACTTGGTAATCACACGGGAGTCGCGCGAGGATTTTCGTTGATCAAGCAACACGATTGGGGGATCAAGGGTAAAGTATCGATCCGTGGAAATCCGGGAGATCACGAGAACCGTCAGCGTATACTTGGCGATGGTTGTCAAAGGACACAGCTCGCGGGAGTAATATCGTTTGCGCACTCTCTCCCTCTCTCTCTCTTTCTCTCTCTCCCTCCTTCCCTCCCTCTGTTTCTCTCCGGCGTCGTCTTTGGACCAACGCGAACTATACACGTGTCCACGCGGATTGGGACGTAGGAATTGATTCATGCTGCGAGAGCCGTTGTACCGCATGTTTGCTAAGACACTCGGGTACTCTCGCAGCGGGAGGGCCGTACACCGGCAGGAAGACAGGAATACGGACGCTCCGGCGGCCGTGGGATATTTAGGCAAGTTTGGCCGCCTTCGCAAACTCCGTTCGATCCTGCGGAGACGTCTATGCCCGGTGCGCCGCGCTAAGGATGCCCCGCGGCCAACCCTGACCATATATTAATCGCCGTACGACTCGCACAGTTACGGCGGTGCCCTCAGCATAGATTCCCGCGGTATTTCGGGAATAGATTCGAGTTTCGTGAGAGCCACACAGAGAGAAACAGGTAGACAGACAGATAGATGGATGGATATACGTGTAGGCGGAGAAGAAGGAGAGGAGGCTGTGAGAGTAAACAAGATATTTGTGCGTCTCGCTCTGCGCGCCGGTGAAAAATAAAAAGGACGATTCGACGTCGTATATAATATAGTGTCGCGCGAGTTTTCTCGCGGGATACCACTATATTACCGGGTCATAACGTTCCCCGGCGGCGGAGTCCTCCTTTTCGCTGGCGGGAAAAACGCGAGATGATTCTCGCGGAATCGACAAGTACAACGTTCGATTCCTGGCGTCGTCGTAAAACGCGCGATTTTATCGCGCTCTGCTCCCAGAGCCACTCGAGGACTCGTCTCCACCTCTTGGAGGATTTATCATGACTCTCAGCATTCGTTGGAAGACAATGGGGGTCGATGGGGGGGCGTCTTTCCAGCGAGCGAGCGCGCGCGCGCGCAATCGAACGGATCGCTATAAATCGCGAGACTCCTTATCGGCTTCGACCGCCGGCGACCTTAACGGCGCCGAAATCTATGGACGCCGGAAAGTTAGACGAGTCCTAGTTTCCCGAAGTGATACGACCATCGCGAGAAGAGAGCGCGCCCCGCCCCGCCCTCTCGAACTCAGCCCGTGACCTGCGATACGATATTCCGTCTCCGTACGTTATCCTCCTTACGTGTACGGTGTACGATTCTCGTGCTCGTTATCTCAACGGGCAGCAGGATGCGCATCCTGCGGGCCGCTCCCGAATACTGCATCGTAAACGTGGCTTACCACGTTACGCGATAATTATACCACGAACGAACCGATAAGAAACGATAATCCCCTCGAGGAGATTACGCATAACGACCGAAATATTGTATGGCAAATTTGAACACTACAAATACAATCGGTGTATTCTTCACTAAAAAGTTATATGATGACGCTCCTAATTATAGGTTATGTAAATTTCATTTGTTTACATGAATTTATCGGTTGAATTTGACAAGAAACTCTATTGATATCAGTATGAAAGAACAATAAACATATCATAGTTTTAAAAAAATTATTAGATGTCAAATTAAATGATTCGAAATTTCGAAAAAGAAAAAACAATTAGCAATGTGTGAGTCCCAATCAGGGATCAGCGAATTATTTCACGGCTATACAACGAATCATACGATATTTTATATTAACAATGTCCACACGTTCATATTGTTTCAATTTATATAGAGTAATGGTAACACAACCCACTAATAGTCACATGAATCTAAAAAGTCGGTAAAGCAAATAATATTTTATAAATTTTTTCTTAGATATTAACAATGTTTGAAATACTTAGAATATAATTACAGAAGGGAAGGGAATATCAAGAATTTTTCTGTGTTTTTATTATAATGTGTATTCTTTAATGAATCAAATTGACTCTAAATAGGGATTCGATCCATAATTTAAGTCGGATTGTTTCAATTCACTTGGATTCTTAACCTAATTTGGCTAGATTATGCGGTAATACGTGCAAGGATGAAAATCTAAATTGCTCTGTTTCTCGTTTCGTTCTTCTACTTCCCCGTTTCCCATTTCCCTAACCGAGGACGTCTTGCTTACCTCCTTGTTCCAGCGACCTCGACGACCTTGCACCTGCTTCGACTCCACCAGAACGGCGTTAGGGTCCAGTAGGAACTACTCGCGCTTCTCGCCCAGCCTTCCTCGGGAAATAGGAGAACCTGCGACACAAATGGTGAGCGAATCGTTGAATATCTCGTCTAGTGTTCGAGGCATTTTTAATTCATATCGAAAGAGAAAAATGAATTCAGTTGACTTCGGGAACTTTTACGTTCCGCGCGCCACCATTATCTCGCCGGGAGCTCGCTGTGGAAGAGCTATAACACTTTCGAATAAAGTATACGAGATCGCGGGAGGGCTTCGTCGGGACTTTACTGCAGGATAGCTCGGCGTCTTCGACGAGTTCGAGGTTTTCCGTGGAAGATTTGTCGAGGTGGAATCCTTCCGCGGAAGTAGAAGGAGTAAGGAGGCGGGGAAGCGGGAGAAGAAGAAGAAGGAGAAGGAGGAGGATGCTTTCCCGCCGAACGTATCCCCCGCGAAAAAAGCGACCCCTCGACCTCCTTTCACCCTCTTTCCTCCTCGCCTCAGGCTTTCCGCCCCTCGCGGCTTTTCCAAACCTCAGCTATGTGACCGAAATATTGAAACTTCGTCGAACCATTTCTCCCTCGCCCGATGAAAAAGGACAGAGCGTGTCTCCCTGCGCCCCTAGGATGCCCCGCACGCGATTCAGGCATCCGTCATGCCGGGGATTTTCTGTGCCGCTAACGTGCGTTTCGCGAACGTGGATAGATCGCCCTTTAATCGGCACACATCCCGCAGCGGGATACGTAAGGGGATCGTTGTTGCTCTTCGCTCGTCTGTGTGTCGGGCGCAAAACGCCAACCCGTTCGCGTTGCGAGAGATTCGCCGAGGAGTTTCGCACGTCCGGATTTACAAACGCGAATCGCGTTTCGAGCGCGGATATCCCCCTTGAGACGCGGGCGATCTGTCACCAGAAAATTCAAGATTTTACTTCCCCTTATTTCTTTGCGTTTACGATTTTGTATTTACGATTATAGATATACGATCGTACTGCGACGTATCTCCGCGGAGATGATCTTGCGAAACACGACGTCGCGAGAAACCACCGTCGCGAAACATATTCCGGGATACAAATCCAACGGCGCCGCGCAGCCAGGCGAATATCCCCCGCTTTATTGAGGCACAAATCATTCCGTTTCTTCATTACTACCTCGACTCCCGCGAGCAACCTCTCTTGGCAACGGGTTTCGTCAGCATCCCAGATATTTGGCGATAACTGCGCATTCCCGTCGAAGTTACGATACGTTGCAAATTGCTATCTGTCAGCAAGAATGCGCTTTCTTCCACCCTCGGGCTACGAGATCGGAAAAAAGCTAGACGGAGGCAGAAGGGAGAAAGGGAGGGAGAAGACTAGCATGCCAAAAGAGGAACACACGACGCGGCTGAGAGGTTGCGAAGGGCTAGCTTCTCTCGACGATCGAATTTCTCTCTCTCTCTTTCTTTCTCTCTCTTTCTCTCTCTCTCTCTCTCTCTCTCTCTCTCTCTCTCTCTCGCGCGCGCGCGCGCGCTATCTATCTTTCTTCCTCCCCCACCTCAGCCTCGAGTTACCACGAGATAGCTCGTTGCCAAAACTTCTTGATTTGCCGTTCCGGAACAACGGAACAGTCGGCAGGGACAATTTACTCCCCCTGAAGAGGAGAAGGAAGGGGAGGCAGCGCGATTTTATCGGATCCCGTGGAATTGCATTCCAGCCACGTAAACGGGAATATCGAGATTCAGACGAGCCTCCTCTCGACCTCCGTGCGTCCCTTCACCCTTCGTTCTAGTTCGAGTCGAGGAGACGCGACAAACTCGCGGTTAACGTCCTTCTTTTCTTTCTTCACCCCTTTCTCTCTCTCTCTCTCTCTCTCTCTCTCTCTCTCCCCCCCTCTCTTTTTATGTTGGTTTTATCTTTCACATCCTCCGTGAAAGATACATTTTCACGCGCGGGTCGACCCGAAGTGAACGATGGCAATGTATTACGGTAACGTGCTTTAACAACGCGCCGGCCAAAATTTCAATCTCGTATCGCGGATTCGACCGCGCTTTTTCGAAATCCCGCGTGAAATTAATTTATTTTTACATAACATCGCCTGTATAGTCGCGGCGTGCGATCGCGCGGAAATAACGAGGTGGCCAAACAACGGGCGAGCGAGCGAGCGAGCGAATCAGTTTCCAATCGCGGCAAAATCTACCCCGCGGCGATAAAGTATGCATAAAGCTGGAAATACAATTCGCGATGGACCTTCACCGAGCGCCGGCGCGATTATTCGCTCGCTCGCCGATCAAACTCGCATGATTACGTTCGCGTTTCGCGGGGTCGGTTTTACCGTTCCTTCCCGTTCACCCTCTCTTCGCTCCCTTCTCTCTGTTTCTCTCTTTCTCTCTCTCTCCTCCCTCCCCTGCTCCACCTTTCTCTACTCTCCTCTTTCTCCCTTTTTTGATTCGATACCGCGGCCAACCAATCGAACGTGCTCCGCGGTCGAGTTTACTGGCCTTTAATAATGTTTCGCGAATCATCGAGTCGCATTACAGAGCGGCGCGGTGCGCTTTCGCGACGCAGTCGCTGAATTTACCGTCAGGTCGGCGTTATTTAGTATTTTACGCTGCGGTATATTATAACGATCCGCGCTCTGATGCTACATTATGATGATTATATTTCGTCGCTGTTGCCATAATGTAATCCTTTGTCCTGTCGCTGCGACGTACTACGTGTGTGGTCTGCCGTAATTCTGCTATGTCGCACATATAACTATTTAATTCGATCTATCCGAATGCAATTACTTAATTATTCTAGTTACGCTTCTCTCCGTGCTCATCGTCATTGTTCGAAAGTGGTTTACGTGTTGCAGCACGTTTCAACACCGAATTAATTCATTTTCGAAGAAAACGACTCATAATTTGTCTCTCTAAGAGAAAGACGGAGAAAGGGGAAAAGAAAGGAAGAGCTTTTTATGGCAGCTGATCAAATGCTTCAGAGAATTGCAAAAAGCGCCAAATCAATGCAAATTACGGAACGCTTCGCGAGCGAGATGCATCGAGATATCGACCGGAAGCAATCGGGGGTTCAGCTCCCGGCTGCAATTTTGACCGAACGTCCTCGAGCCGGCGAACGCGCCTCTCGACGTGTATCGCGAATCGAAGCATCCTCTCTGAGATATGTTCCCGTTCGCTGCTTTTAATAAGCGAAGATTACGCGCAAACATCGAGTCTCGCAATTTCCCAAGCCAGACTCGCTCCGAGTGCGACTTACGAGAAGGAGAAGAAAAATAGAAGCGCACGACCGTGGAGAGGTTGCGCGAATAAAGAAGAGGCGGCGACCGCGAAGCTCGCGAGGGATGCGAGTGAGGGTCGAATATAAACAGCCGAAGGGACGAGGAAAGGAATTCCAGCCGAAGTTTTCGCGCTCCTCGGCTCCGTCTATTTTTCTTTCCGATCCTTTTTTGCTGCCCCCTTTGTCCCCCTGCCGCCGTTCTCCCCCGTGTGTTTCGTAGTTTCGTGGACACGACGTGTCGCGCATTCGAGCCCAAAGCGGGCCAATCGATCAGTCGATCGAAAAACCGGACATGTCTCTGTGTGATCCCTTCGCTGTTCTTTCTGCATTGTGGAAGAGCGGGCGAGCAAATTGAACTAATTCTCGCGGCTGGGAAATGGTTAGAAATACGCGCGGCGGCGCGTTTGTAATGGCTGGCCTTTCCTGTCGAACATGCAAATTTATCGGCGTCCAACACGCCCCGGAGGTGGACAATTTGTCCATTAACGACTCCAATTACCCGTCGTGGGTATAACTCACCGAGTAGAGATTTTTTCGTTGCCGCGGCGTGCTTCCGTTGGGACATACACGACCGATAGAAAAATAATATCGGTCGGTACAGAGGAACATTTGCGTTTGGTACGCGTGGCACGGCGTAAGGGACTTAATTATTCCAGCTTGTGCCCCGCGCGAAGGAGATTCCCGCTCCGTGTGAAACGTCGCGGCAATTCTCTCTCTTTTTCGCTCGCGGACGAGACGAGAACTCTCGTTGTTCTGCTTCCCTCGGAGTTAAGGAGAAAAATTCACTTTGGCGAATTTAATTTTGCCAGCTGCGCGATTAATTTCCGCCGAGTCTTCGCCACTCGTAAACTGGGTTAGACCGCGACGTTACGCGGTCCCGCAGCCGTTGATTAATCCCGTTCTCGCGCGGACCCGCGAACTCGCTAGTTTATTGTTCGCGGGGCGCGCGCGCGCTTGTCGCACGACAACGAGAAGCTGAAACGGCCGGCGACAATCGCACCCGATATTGCGCGCGCGGATCGCGTTTATATCGTGCTGAATGCCGCTGATTGAATAAGTGGATCTCACGCGCAGCTGCCGTCGTCACCGTGGCTCGCCCGGTCTCGTCTCTATCGTCTCTTCTAACTCGGTCTCCCCGGCGCTCTCATCGACAATTTACCCTCTCTTGAAGCAAGAGACAGAGAGAGAGAGAAAGAGAGAGGGAGAGAGAGGGGGAGGGGAGAGAGACCACACCGAGAGCAACGGTGGTATTTCGCGAGAAGGCTCCTTCCTCCCGCGCGCGACCGGTCGCGCCCGTCGTCTATTTCCTCGCCCCAGTTCCGCGTGCCGCGAGGCGCGCTTAATTACACCCCCGCCGGAAGCGATATTAGCGCTTGTTAGAGTTTTGCGCGATTGATTTCCCGTGCAAGGCTCGCGCAACGAAATGAGAAAACTCGAAGGCCCGTGATCATTCCTGATCAAGTTCAATTGGTGAACTCGGGGCGTGCTGGCTTTTAAATATGTTCCCATCGTATTTAATTTACAATTTAACAATACAATATACGATGATGTACTATGATATCAAACTGTCAAAATGACAAATTAGCCTACTAATCAAGTTATAATGTGTGTGCACACACAAAAAAGATATTTCTCTAATGTGCTGAGAAAAGCGCGATTATTCTGCAATTCAAGACTCAATTCAGGCTTTCTTTCTTTTAAGTAATGGTTATCTTTAAAAGAGAATATTTTCTCGATAGCAATCTTCAAATATGCTCATCATAAATATGAGAAAAGTTTATTATCGTGTACTTAGAAGAAGCTCATTATTATGTACTCAGAAGAAAA